GTTCAAAACCACCAAAAGCCTTTTGTGAGTCACATGCAATGTTCAAAATATGTGGTCTAGTGAATTTTTTTGCTAGACAACCCTGGTAGCAATCACCAACAAATGGAACACAAGTAACAGCAAGTAATTATACAGTTCAATGCTAACCTCATCTAGGGGAAGGTGCCCCTGCCTATGGCATGAGGGTTTGAACAAGATGATCTTTAAGGTCCCTTCCTACCCAAATAATTCAAAGATTCTATGATTCTATTTGGTCAGGCTCTATTCTACTTTCAGACATGTCCTTTGAAGAAAGGGTTCTCTTTAAGGGTTTTATTGATATCTTGATCTTTGAGCTTGGTTTGAAAAAATCTCCCAGCAGCTTGCAAAAATTAAGTTACTGTATAAAGCAGCAAATAAAGCAACAGAAGACCCAGCATGTTTCATTCTGCTCTCCCTGCTACTGGGGAGAAATCCTAGCCAGGACCTACAGGTAGTAATGCCTTAAACAACTTCAGAAGCCAAGCCCAGGGAAGATCCCCAGGCTGAGCTCCAAAGCTAGAGAACAAAATTCAACCAGCATATTTTGCAAGAAAATAGGAGACCAAATTGACCCTGCTCACACCTTTCTCAAGCCTCTTTTACAGGATCACAGGCACAGCCAGGTAACACACAGTAAAAGAGCAATCACCCAGCCATTAGCAGCAGATAAGAGGCATTTGTCTCAAGCAATCCCTCAAATCTCTTCATCCTGCTATGGGAATTAATTTTCTAAACTAAATAAAGCAAATTTTAAGCTTCACAAGTAAGCAGTTAAAAACATTTACATGCTTTAAGCTCTTACAACAACAAAGCCAGGCCATGTTTGATTAATATTTTTAAAAAGAGCATTTCTCTGACTTGAAATACCTGAGGGAGCTTTAGAAGTGAAAGGGCTGGGAAGAAAAAGCAGCTCTATCACTCACAGCATCCTACCTGCTGCCCTCCTCAGACAGGTCTGGCTACAGTGGTGGTTGACACTAGTGCAGAGGGGCTACTCTGGTTCCCCAGGTGTCCCATAGGGAGCACTGAGCCAGAGGAAGTGGCTGGTATGGAGGCAGAGCAGCACCACTCTGCACTCACAGGCTCAAATGTCAACCACAAACACCATCAAAACACCCAGCCCCACATCAAGGCAGGGCTCCCAGGTGTGGTTTGCCTGGCTTCTGAATTCAGCCAGAGACACAATGTCAGAGGACACACAGGACAGGCATCCCTTTACCATGGTTAATGTATTTTCATCTCAACAAAACAAATGTCTGCTTTTATGCATCCCAACCTCCAAAGGTCTTAGCCCCATCACAGCACCAGGCAGCTACTCCACACAATGGTCAGGCTCCCCAGTCCTAAGGAAGTCACCTGCCACCCCTGCTTCAGCTTACCATAAAGCCTTGGCTTTAGCCACTTCACAGGTGTTTCTGTGAGGTCATACCACATCCAGGAACAAGAGGAGTTACTCACCACCCAGGACACAGAGCTATTCAGCTCCAGTATGGCTGTGCTGCTTCCTCCTGCCTAATTTAGGGATCCAGTTGCAGGAAGGCACTCAGGGCTGCTCTTAGCAGCAGACAACTCCCACCACCCACCTATTGCTTTACCACATAGACATCAGGTCTACTGGAAGGATGAAGTGTTTACAGAATGCTTTGAACACAGGTTACCAAATGCTGCCCAAGCAGGGACAGGCCCAGTGCCCAGCCTGCAAAAGGGGATGAAGACACTTCACAGGGCACAAACCCTCCTGCCAGGCATGCTGGTTATTCAGTCCCGTCCACAGAGCAAGCTGACACATTTAGAGAGCAACTGCTTGGTAACAGGGTCCCCAGCACACTATGTTTTGAAGCACTGCTGTGATTTACAATTCAGTTTATTGCATTAAAAAGTGGTGCAGTCCTAGCCCTAGAAAGAAATAAACACGCCACTTGTCACAGTTCCTTCCATTATCTTTTAGAGGGAAGTGAGCTTGGGTGAATATTCATAGAGGGGAGTCTGTGGCTTGTAAGAAAGCACTGCCAAAAATGCAGCATCCTGCTCTTGCCCCACTGGAAACATCCTATCTCTTTGTCCAAGCTCTCCAGAACCTGCAGCAGAAGAGGGCTTACCTGGGAGATGTTCCTGTGCTTCTGGAACAAGAGTCTGAGTGAGCATAGGGAAAACATAAATTCAAGGTGGCTGCCAGAACCGTGCTAGAGGCTGAAAGTGAAAAGCCTTTCACCTGTGACCTGCTGAGCCAGGACTAACAGAAGCCCTTGTACCTTGCTGCTCCTGCTCCTGCAGGGTTTATTAGAAGTGAGTAAAACCACCTAAAAACGAGCTGTTCAAAGGGAGAAGGTATGAGATGCTTTGACTGTGTTTGTATCCTCAGTCCCACCCCCAAAGCAGACTCCCTGTCCTAGGGAGATATACATTTGTACTAGGGTTTTAAATTAATTTTATTATAGAAAAGTAATGCACTCCTTTCCCCACAGATGTGTTAGGATGCTGACACAACAGTAGGAAACCATCCTGCAATGTAGTTTTCCTTGTAACTGCTTGTGAGAAGTAAGTGCCACACCCATGGTGGGACTCCCCTAATACAGCCCTTTCCAGCCAGACTAAGTGCTCAGATTTGGCTCACACTAAGTATGCACCATATCTCAACTGCATTTTAGAATATATAGGCTACAGAGCAGTGGGTCTGTAGCCTCTGACTCTCTGGGTCATGCTAAGACTCCCAGACTCATTTTCAGCAGAGGCAGATTCTGCTCTTCACAGAGCAGCTCAGCAGCCTCATTCATCCCACTGCCCCCCAGATTGTTTGATTTCAGACCAATGTGATGCATTTTGGTAGTAACTGTGTTCTCAAGAATCTGGACAATCCTGAATGCAAACCAAACAGCACTAACCATGGGAAATGACTTGCCTGACACAGGTCGGTGTTGCCTCTACCCCACATCACCATCAGGCACTTTCTCTTGAGCAAAAGTTCTCAGATCTCTGACACCCATTTAGGCATCCAGAGGGACCATCCCATCCAGTCAACCCTTCTCCTCTGCCTACCCCCAGGATTAAGTGGGTTCTAACAGCTGCAGAATCAGCACCATACCTTTTTCTTAGCTGAACCCTGGTTCCTCAGCCCAAATTCAGCAGGGACAGGGGCATCAACAGTTCACATTTTAGAAGGAAAACATCTTCATCCATCCCATCCCTTTGCCCAATCTATTTTATTCTTACCCTTCTCTACATATCACAAAGTTAGTAAGAGATTTATTTCCTTTGCCTGGCTTGGAACTAAAGTTGAGCTAGAAGTTTGAGTTGTGCAGCCACACAACGCAGAAATGTCTCCTCTGAAACAGCACAAGCATTTCAAAGCAGAGAAAAAGAGCATTTGGAGGGTGTTCTATGAAACTAATGGAGCTGGGTGAAATTAAAAAGATCCCAATATATGAGATGACATATCAGAACACAAAACAGTGGGGGGAGGGTGAATTATGTTATTTAAATGCATTCACACTATGGCATTTATCAGCAGCAGAGTACTCAGGGAAGAAATATCACCACTGGATCTGCAGTATCAAAATGTGTGTCCCTGGAATCCAGCACTATTTCTGTATTGAACAGCATCCCCAAGGAATGCCATATTTTAGGTACATGCAGAGCTGCAATAGGTAGTGCACTCTAAGATCCAAGACCTTGATCAAGCTCTGCAACTTAAATGGATTTCCAACATAACAAAGACAAAGAGGTATCAGCTCTAGTCCTCATTTGCTGATACTATCAATAAGGGCTCAGTTCACTAGCAGTTAATTCAAAGCCAAACTTGATTTGCACAACAGTGATCTACACTAAGTCCCATATGTGGTTAAGGGGAGATTTTGCCAATTAGACAATAGAAACAGCATTAGAGCTCTTGAACTGATGCCATCACTTTTTTTTTTATGCTCCACCACTTCCCCATCAAATTTCCACAGGCTGGGATCTCCAGCTGCCTACTCCCTTGAATCAGAAGATATACACAAAGGGTAGCAAATACAGAAGTACCTGTTTCTTTTCCAGATGCAGCTTTATTGAGGCTTTTAAAATGCAACTGCCAATAAAATAGGGGCAAATATTTTTTTGTGCAAAGATACTAAAAATTTCCATAATTAAGCAACTATAAAAGTATTTCTGTGTGATTCAGCTGTCACTTAGCCTTAAAAACAAAAGTTGCTACATGGTGCTATGTTTCATTGAAGTTTTGTAGCTTGCTTCATTCTGAAAATTTTGCTTTCAGTTTTTAGTCCATCTCAACACCAGATCAGACTGTTTTGCCAAGCTGTTGCTGGTGAGTTGTCATGGTTGTTGAGAACATAGAGGCAGCCAGAAGTGACATCCAATTAGGCAACTAAGTAGTTTTAACCACATTCTAAAGTCACTATCTGTAAGCCTGGACCCCATTAATCTCAAACTTGGTTCAAATGCAGAGGTGGCAGCAGCCCATACCCAGTGTTTGCACCTGTGAATTACTGTGTCTTCTGAAACCAGCTGAACTCAACAGCCCACAGCTTTGACTTGCTATTAACAGAAGTATCCTCACCCCATCTACTTTCCACCAAGCAAGCACCGACTCCTAGAGCCAGCACAGGGAAGGAATTCAGGGGTAGCACGGGGGTGGCTAGTTTTCCTAACTCATGCTGCTCCCATGCTAAGGAAAAACAATGTTACAGTCGCCAGTTAGAGCCCAGGTATTACCTCTCTTTTTCAAGTCCCACAAAACATCCCCAGCTCAGATTTGGAAAGAAGGCAAGACTTTGACACAGCCAGCTGGTGACCAGAGGGGAAAGAGACCTGTTGCTCCCCCACCCCACCTCACAGCCCCCAATTCCTACTGAAACTTGTGTCATTAGAGAAAGGACACAGACCAAATACCTGCACCATGTTCCTACTTCAGCAGGGAGTTAGACTTAGGTGCCTGGCTCCTGCCATGAAACAAGAGGCTAGAAAAAACCACAAGTCTGAAACAGTTTAACACAGGACAAAAAAGGCACATTTTAATATGTACAGCAATGCATTTGGGCTATAAATTTACCCAACACAACTGAAAAAAATCCAAACTATGCTTTTATACTTATTCCATGGTGTCAGCCTCATTCCTAGCCACCTACCTTTCTCTGCATCTCTGAATGCTGCTATATACACACACAAACAAACAATTACGTCATGAATGTTCATTTAGGCTCCCAAGTTCAAGTAATAAAGTTCAAACTTGCATAGCATCTTATGCCACTCAGCCATAAACAGTTACGATTGCATATTAGCTGGAGCAGCCATCTCTTTCAATTCAGCCAGTTTTGGCTGGCCAACATTTTTAATTTTTTTTTTTTTTTTAATCCTTGAGTCAGAATGTTTCCTAAGTTACCAGCCCTGAGGGATGCCACAGACTTGAAAATGAACCTCTTGCTGTTGTTCAGATCCTTTTAAACCAGAAATTTAGAGTGTTGTCAAAAGTTTTAAAAATGTAATACTGTTTATTTTGCTTCAAAAACATTTCAGCATTCTAAACATACAAAAAAACCAGAACGTTGCAAATCTGTTTAAGTACAGAGTGTTTTTGAACTTCAGTTGCTGCACTGGCTCTTCACTTAGTTGACGATGAAGAGATGTCTACAGTTTCAGTTTAAAAACTACCGCACTTAACTAAAAAAACCCATACACTTCTCATGCCAGCTGAACCCCCTTCCACAACTAAGAATGGCAGCAGAATGCTATTTCACTATATACAGAAAGACAACTTTAAGCTAAATGGACGCCCACTGTAGTGTAAATAGATCTACCCTCACAGTGCATGCTTTGGGCCATGGCACCCTGGGGAACATACAGCCTTTCCAAGTAATCACTGCTCCTCTAAGGCATCATCACTCTAAGCATGTACCACAAGAATCTGTCTAGTTTTTACAAACTATAGTATGTACAGTTTATAACCCAGGATTTTCTAGCCAATAACCATATAGTAACACCACCTTACAAATTAAAAAATGCTTGAAACATTTTTAAATGCTTTGTTACACCAACAGCAAAGTGCACAGAGTTAGGAGAACACTAGAGCGCCTTTTCATTTTAAAAATGTTTGGAAATATGTACAACTTTGATACAGTTTCAGGGTGCTCACTACACCCATGGCCACTTCATGTAAACCAGTTACAATTTCTAGAGCACTTTTAGAAACTACAATGTGATTGGAATCCAATTTTTTTTTAATTAAGCCTAATAAGGGCAAGAGACACCATCTCAAATAAGAGGTGCTTCATTTATGGTGTTTCCCCTACTCTATGGTATTCACATGGAGACAAGTATTGTACAGTTTTATTCATCATCATCATCTTCATCTTCCTCTTCTTCATCCTCCTCCTCCTCTTCGTCTTCTTCCTCTACCTTTTTCCGAGCAGCTTTGGTTGCTGCTCCCTTTGCGCCATCAAACTTTCCTTTAGATTTGTAGTCTGCAACATCCTGCAAAGTCAAGGCGATGTCTTAATTTGCTCTAAGCAGCAAACACACACAGCATTGGTACAGCAGTGGGCGTTAAGGTAAAGGGACTGGCCTTCCTCTGCTGCACCCCCCCAAGGGGACACAGACAGCACGGGAGTACAAAGGTATGCAGACACCTAAGCATACTCATGAATCACAAAGTTCTTGAACCCTGCATTCATGGCTATTTCTCTGAGGATGAGAACTCAGCTTCTCAAAGTTTCCTGATAATGGGACAAAGCTCCTGTAACAGCACAGCAATCTCTTTGTGAAACAACACAAGCAGCCCCTGCTGCACATCACCGGGGAATGGTCTCCCTCCTCCTTGCTGAAATCTGCCTGTGGATCTCTGTCCTGCTCTGCATCCCAACCTGTGCAACCAAAGCTTGGCTGTAACTATGCTAGGGCCACCTGAGCTGGGCCTATGTTACAAAAGCACATCAACAAAAGAGCTAGTACAGAAGAGGCACAAGTGACAACTTCCTTACCTTCTCATACTTCTCCTTCAGTTTAGCTGCCTTATTATTGTAAGGTTGCTTTTCACCATCACTGAGGTTGTTCCACATTTCACCCAGTTTCTTTGCTACATCCCCAATGGATATGCCAGGGTTTGTGGACTTGATCTTGGGGCGAAACTCTGAACAGAAGAGGAAGAAGCCAGACCTTGGGAAGAAACACCAGAGGACAGTCAGCATTTGCAGCAGCATATCCAGGGAGCACCCTTTCCTCCATCCCTCTCCCACAACACTGACAGATGCATGAGCACAGAGTAGAAACTTTTTTAACTTACAAACATAAGGTTAAACATGTTTTGATTTTACTGAGGCCCAGACCTCCAGCCTTCACTCAATGCAATTTTTAAATAAGTGTTCTGTATCCCCACACCCAATTTCATCTTAGATATAGAAATCTCACTGCGACTCAGCCACTTCCATATCTTCCATCACAAAGTTTAAGAGTACCAAGTACTGACAATTTGTGCCCTACATGCTCAAGACCACAAGCCACCTAGAAGGTTTACAAGACAGTACTGCTTTCCTAGAAATCCATGTTACACTCAGGGTGTGAAAATGAACCAAAGAACTTATGCATTTAATGCCTCATAGTTACTTACGGTGGTCGTTTTGGGGCATTGGGGTCCTTCTTCTTCTTGCCACCCTTAGCTGGTCCATAGTCCTTCATTTCTCTATCATATCGTACCTTATCAGCCTTTGCCATTTCATCAAATTTAGCCTTTTCCTTGCTTGACATGGTCTAAAAAACCAAAACATGAGACACCAAACTTGTGATAACCCAACTGTTCAATAGCTGGCAAACTTTATATAAATCAAGCCAACACATATCAACTCAATATGGGAGTTTCAGAATTTGTTTGTTTTCTAACTTGACCACTTTGAAGATGAAGGTCCTGTACAGGCAATCACAGTCACCATGGACATACTCAGCAACAGAGAAGCAACAGAAATGAGACGAGCACAGTCAGACTCTTCCTTTGGACACACATCTAGAAGGAATTAGCTGCTGAAGGGTGTTGCTTGAAAGGCCAGACTCTAGCAGAAGGATCTAAATGAGCATTGAAGCTAAAGCATTCGATATTGCTACAGGCTTCAGCAGCACCTGACCAATGGCCAGGCAAGCTTGGCAAGAGCAGCATATAGACCAAAACAGCACAGGCTCCCTTCATGTTCACACCCACATACATCATCCTAGCAGGTACTATAAGACATTATCCCTTCAGGAAGGCACAAATTAAGGTACCTTCCACCTCTCTGAGCACTTCTTGGAAAACTCTGCAAAGTTGACTGGAACCTCTGGGTTCTTTTTCTTATGTTCCTCACGGCACGTCTGCACAAAGAAGGCATAGGCAGACATCTTGCCCTTGGGCTTCTTCGGATCACCTTTAGCCATCTTGACTCTGTAGGGACAGAGGAAAAAATAACAAATGAATGATATATAGATAAATGCATGCACCTATGCATGTACACATATATGGTGTGCATGTATTTATACACACATACACCCCCCACCATTCTGATGTGATGTCCCATCAGTAACACATCTCTTCCCCCCCAAGACCTCTTACCATCCCCAATACACACTTAAATTATTCTCCCTTGATACTTAAGTTGCAGACAAGCATTTAAGTGCAGACATGGATTTAAGTGTTACATTAATATATATTTACATCATGTCCAAAGACTGGAGACAGCCTATTAAATATACATTCTTCTGCCTATTAAGCATTATATATAAACTAATATAAAGTATCTGCTTTAGTTGGCTACTATACTGGGGCTGGAACAGCATGCACAGTGCCAGCCAGTGACTTAGCCCTTCAGGAGCTGAATGTACATGTTAGCAGCTGCTGCCCAGGTAAGAAGATGGAGTAAATCAGCTGCCCCAAAAAGGTGCAATAACCTTTTATATATAAAAAGGGCAAATAAAGTCTGACTTCAACCACAATAGAAGCAGTGGAGCCCGGCGAGGGGAATTGTGCTTGCTCTTGCTCCACCAAGTGACACATGTTTGAGGCACAGTGGTCAGTGCAAAAATGCAAGTTGCTGAAATGATGGTGCTAACTTTTAGGCTCCGTTTCTTTTCCTACTTCCGTATTAAATTTCCTCTGCTTAATAAAAACAAAATGATGAGCCCACAAAAGTATTTTATATTTACAGCTTCTAAGTCACTTAAAATTTAAATTTTTATTAGCTCAACGTTAATATTTAATTGTGCTCATTAACCCGCCAGGTGCAGGCGGAAGCGGCCGTGAGCCGCCCTGCCCGGTCCGGCCGCTGCCGGGACACCGCTGCCTCCGCCAGGGCGGAAAAGCCGCCGGACCGGGGACCG